TAGATGTCCTCGTTCGTGATGCCTCCAGGCCAGCAGGCCAGCCAGAGAATCCAGGCAGTTGTATCAGTGTGTCCAAGAGAGGAGGGTCCTCTGGATCCACGACCGCGGCCCAGCTAACAGAAACACCACGAGAAACTGCCATCCCCTCCTGAGTTCACACAGCAGACAGCACGCCTCCCTTCCAGGAGCAGGGCCCCGGGGCCATAGCTGAACTGCTCCTGTCCCCGTGGGACTGACAGCTGGTACAGGGTGAACAGGCAAAGGGCTAACAGGACTCGGGCCCTGGGTATCTTTGGTTTATTTTTTAAAGAAAATGGCTTTGCAGGGCATCAGTGGAGACGCAGACACAGAGAACATACTTGTGGACACAGCAGGGGAAGGAGAGGGTGGGACAAATCGAGAGAGTAGCTCTGAAACATGTACACTATCACATGCAAAGTTAGACAGCCAGCAGGAATCCGCTGTTGGACGCAGGGAGCTCCAATCTGGGGCTTGGTGACAGCTTCAAGGGGTGGGATGGGGCAGGAGGTGGGAGGTTCAAGAGGGAGGGAACATATGTACACCAATGGCTGGCTGATGCTGATATATGGCAGAACCAACACAGTATTATAAAGCAATTATCCTCCAATAAAATAATTTTGAAAAACGAAAATGGCTTCCAACATTTAAGAATCAGGCAATTTCACATCAAAGTCTAGAATTCTAGCTTCTCTTAGGGAAAGAGGATTCCATTCCCTCTGGTCATGCATTGCCCAGCATGGGCGCTGCCACCCCGAGGGTCACGAGCTCTGCGCCCATCAGTGGCCCTACTCTCTGAGGACTCATTCCGTTCTGGCAGCAGTCTCCTCATCAGCATCTGAGACAGACAGACGGTCACCAGATAATCCTCCAACTGGGTGGTCAGTGCATGGCAGGGGACGAAGAAGAAGGGGTGGTGGTTCCTGAGCCCCGGCCTGACGGGGTTGAATGTGGGGAAGCCTCCCGCGGGTATCCGTTCACTGGGGTCACCCCATCCTGTCCTACGCGGTGGAGGAGCTTCAGACCCAGCGATGCTCTGGAGCCCGAGGCAGCCAGGTGTGGAGTGAGTCATCCAGCCTCTCCCTGGTGCAGATGCCATGGAGCACATCTCACATTCTGAACGACATCACCGCTCATTCGACACTGATAAACCCATCCCCCTGAACAGGTAGCGTCTTCAGCAACACCAGGCATGACACCCACTGCACCCCAATGTCAACCCCCCCAGAACGCTGCAAGGCCTCAGCTTGATTCAAGGCCACTTTAGCCTGTCCCTGGGCTCCTCCGTACGTCACCCTACCCTATCCCACAGAGCCTGGTCCCCAGTGCACACCCCTCACGGGACGAGGGGCCCCTTCCCTGCCCTAGTTCACCGCTCCCCGAGCACCTTCCCTTCTCTCTGCCTTCATCTGTCCCTCCCTGACCTCTCTCCCAAGGATCCAAGCCAATCCCCCCAGGAGGCCCTTCTGAGGCCCAGTGTGACCACTCTCTCCTGAGTCCCGGTGGTTTCCCACAATAAAACACAACTGGAAGGAGAGGCTCACACTTCTGTACATGGCAGGGCCAGAGCAGACCCAGGGCTGGTGTAAGGACGCCTGGAAGCTGCCTCTTTTTACCTCTCGTTCTGGCTCCCGGCCCACCTTTGGGCAGCCCCTGAAAGACCCGGGGCTCACTTCCTGCCGGCGTGGCGAGCCCATGGAAAGAGTTCTCTTTCCTATTGCTCCAGCAAAAGTCCTTCCACTGACCCTCAGCAAGCTGGACCCCGCACTGTGGCCAGAGAGAAGGGTCAGCCCTGCCCAAGTCACATGCAATGAGACGAGAGGACGGACGCACTTTCCCAAAGGAACAAGTTTCTAGAAGAAGAAGGTCTGGAGGCCGGCCAAGCACACGCAGACAATGTCACTGGCTCTTCAGCTGTGCATCTCTATAATTGCACGTCTCACTCCACCAGGGCCCGTGGCTGGCTCACCTCTGCAGCCCCTCCAGAGCACAGTTTTATGCCCTACACATAAAGCTGGTGGAATTAAATTCTGCAATTGACATGATCTCTGCTAGGAAAGACCCTGATATGTGTACATCCTCAAAGTGCCATGACTCTTCACTTGCTCTCCCTAAACACACAAAAGCTCCTGGAGAACAAGCCTGGCTTCTCTGTCTTCAGTGTCATCCATGGTCTAACCCACAGCGCTGGGCACCGGGCTGACCAGTAACTCCCTACTGATGGGCATCCGAGAGGATGTCCTGGACAGAATGAGGCTTCCCAGTCGGATGGAGCTAGGTTTAGATCATGGTTTCCTTCACCTCTTAGTCACCGTGCCTTTCTCAAGGGGCCAGTCAGGATTCAAGTGGGGAAGAGGCCACTAGGGGCATGGGATGAGAGCTGAGCCTGACACCGTGTGGGAGAAGGAAGGTTGGGACGGGGAGTGGCTGAGTCAGGTGGCTCACCAGCCGGGATCTGCGAAGTCGAGTGGGACTGGCGGGGCCAGTGGGGGTGGGCAGTGGTTGGTGGGATGTGGGAGCTGCTGCCTCCATGAATCTGCCACAGTGTCTGGGAGAGGAGAGCTGGACGCAGAGCCAAAGAGAGCAGAAGCCCCCTCGAGCCTCTGGCCCCTCTGCATCTCGCTGCCACCCCCTCACCACCACAGCGAGGTCTATGGCGAGTGTGGCCCCTGCCCACCTCCACTTCCGGATTCTCACACACGTGCCTCCTTGCACCAGCTCATGCTCACAGCCATGCAGCGAAAGGGGCTCTGAACAGCACAGGCCAAGCTGCCACAGTCAAACAGTGGACCCCTCTGGGCCTGTTTCCTCATCAGTGAAATGGGGATGTTACTGCTTAGCTCAGGACACATCGGGCACACACATTTTATTATAGTTATCATTTGTATAATAATAATATACTATTGTCTACTAACTTTTGCCAGAATCTGGTTACTTAAGGAAATTCGGGCCCTTCCCTCCCACCGTAGCAGTGTCTTTAAGAACTTCCACCCCCAATTATTCAGATAGAAAAAGACAAATACTACAGGATCTCACTTAACCATGGCATCTGAAAATGCAGAACATACAGAGAGTAGACTGGTTGCAGCCAGGGGCTGGGGTGGGGGATGGGGAGTGCCGGTAAGAGGGCACACACCTTTCAGCTACAAGATGAGTAAGTCCCGGGGATCTAATGTAAAACATGGAGATGACAGATAACAACTCTGCACTGTGCACTTGAATGTTGATAAGAGAGTAAATCGTAACTGTTCTCATCATAACAACAACAAAATATGGTAATATGTGAGGTGAAGGATGTGTTCATAAGCCTTGTCAGGGCCAACACTTTGCAATATACTAATGTGTCAAATCATCAACTGTACATCTTAAGCCTACACAATGTTATGTGTCAGCTGTTGGTGCTACTTGCCGCTAAGTCTGGCTCTTTGTGATCCCAGGGACTGGAGCCCTCCAGGCCCCTCTGCCCATAGGATTTCCCAGGCAAGATTACTGGAGTGGGTTGCCATTTCCTTCTCTAGGGCATCTTCCCAACGCAGGGATCAAAGTGTGCGTCTCCTGCATAAGCAGGCAGATTCTTTACCACTGAGCCATCACGTATCTCATTAAAGCTGGAAAAGAAAACTCCATCCCCAAAGCCTCTGCCTCACAGAGCAACGCTGACTAAATTTAAGCCTCAATTTTTAAATACTAATTATCGCCCCAAAGGAGTGGCCCATGTCTGCAGTGCCCTGGCCTTGCACAGGGCCTCTGGCCCACGGATTCATTTAGAGGACATTTCTCTTTCCTGCCCAGCTCGTGTCAGGGGTCACACCGGCATGACTCACACAGGTGGCATGAGATTCCAACCTTTCAGGCACAGGCTAGCCACACTCGCAGCCTAGGGAGGGTCCCCACTTCCCTAGGCAGCTCTGATTCCACAGCTCCCAGCTACAATCTGCCTCCCCAAAGGATAAAACCAAATGAGTGCCTTGCCAGGAAGCAGCAGGTATCCTGTGACTTCAGAAGGCATCTTTCTCTGGGGACAGCAGAGTTGGCTCTTGAAGTCTCCTGAGCTGGCGTTGGAGGGTGCTGGGAGGAGGCAGGGACTCAACTGCTCGGGGGAGATAGGGAGAGGGAGACAGAGAGAGCACAAGAGCAGTGGTAATGCCACGGTGACGCTGAATACTCCACACAGATCTGTTTAATTTGAAGACTAATAGTCAGGGAACTAGAAGGACAATCTGCTCCGGGCTGCTCATAGGTCCCTGAAGGCTGGTTCAGATGAGACCTGGTGGAAGGGACCCACCTCCTTGGAGATGGGGAAACAGGCTAGGAGAGGGGAAGGAACAGGTCCACAGTCACCAAGTATGTTAGCAGCAGCTCCAGCAAAAAGGTCATTGGCTCGTCTGTTCAGTTGGGCAACATGCTTATTGGGTGCCTCCTATGCACCAGGCACTGTTCTAGCTGGCAGGTATGGCGGGGAAACACCTGAAGGGCACATTGACGGTACAGGATATGTGTAAGTTACCCCATGCCAAGAACAGTGACGGCACGCATGGTGTACTGCTAGACCCTGGCAGACAAAACCTAAGCAGGTACGACCCGGAGCACAGCGGGGACGTAGGCACTTGCCAAGGTCACATGTCCAGTCGGCCTGAACCCAGAGACCACAAGGTGCCTTCACTTGTCTCCCACGTCACCACCCACAAGCTTGACTGGAGCGGCTCTGAGCTCAGAGCCTAGAGACCCTGGCCACCTAAACCCCTGGAAGCTGTGTCCCCGGGGGGCTCTGGGAGAGGTGCATAGGAAAGGGTGCTGGGGAATCCCATGGCAGCAGATCCCATGCAGGAGGAGGTCACTGGGGTCATGAAAACTTGGAAATAGGACTTGCTCGATAGAAAGATTTAGATCAAAGGCAAGTCACTTGACCCCTCTGAGACCCACCCAGTTCCCCGTCTGCACAAGGGGGACAGCGCTGTGTGAAGAAAGAGGAGGATGCTCACCTAGCCCAGTGCCTGACGTGGAGTGAGTGCTTGCTGGCCAGCATCCCTGATGCCGTCACCTGGGACCAAGCAGGGAGTCCCAGGCAGGCCTCTTCCATGGACCCTCCCGGCTCCAGCCCACTGGTGTGTCCCATCCCCGTGCCCCTGCCTAAAGAGCTGCGGAGGCCAACCACTGTTCAGGGCTCCAACACAGCCCGCGCTTGGTGTCCACCGGCAGGGGGCTGGCATGTGTGAACCGCATACACATGCCCCATCCAGAGACTGTATCGTCACTGTGGCCTTTCCAGACTGACTCACCAGGCGCAGTGATGGTGACGCTGCACTTCTGGGGCCACCCTACCGTTCATTCATCTCTGTCACATGTATTAACCACACATCCCAGGACCTGAGTTTTAGAGCTGAAATGTCCTCAGGCCGCCAAAGAATCACCTAACCCAGTGCTTACTAAGCCTAGGGGCTCATCAGGTTACCTGGGAGCGTTTCAGACATTAGCATGAGAAGTGTCTCCTTCTGCATGCGCACCGTGGACGTTCCAGCTGCACAAGAGCGTATTCAATAGAGAGTCCCCCAGTGTCTCCTCCCCAGAAACAAACACTCTTTCTGATGTACCTTCTAGAAAGTCATCCATATGTGTGCAGGCAAAACTATTCTCTACAGACGCCCAGCCCACACACCATTCCCCTATTCTCGTTACCAGTGCACTTTGGATGAATCTATCAATATAGCAGGACGTGAAGCTGTAACTACTTTTTACGACTGCGCAGTATTCCATTGCGTGCGCCTGGCCCCTCATTGATGGACATCTATGGACACTCTGATTACGTGCTCAAGCCAGGCGGCAGCACATCTTCCCAGCACTTACATTCCCTTATGCATAAATCTTTGTGTCCTTTTGTGAGTTCGCTAAAGGATATTAAGGAAGTTAAAAATGACAGATTCTCAGTCCTTCTCAAAAGAAGTTTTGATCCCACAGGACTGGGGTGACACCCGGGAATCTAAATTACAGAAAGCTCTCCCATAATTTAGATGGACACTCACAATGGGAGTTTCCTGGTTCATCTTGTAAAACAGGAGCATGCTGCCCAGTGAAAATGAGTGGCCTGTATCAGGTCAATTACTGGCTCCAACTCAGTACTGTGGAGAAGAGACTTGCATCGTCACTGCTACCAGTGACCCAGCATGGACATCCCTGGGGGCACTCCAGGCTCTCCCCTGGTGATTGGTTAAGTGGCCATGGAGCCTGGCTAATCCCAACCAGTCCCAACTTCATTAATTTTATTATGTTTGATATCCAGAATGGACACACAAGAAGCCAGTCACAGTGGCTATTTCTGGGGAGAAGATTGGGCATTTGGGAGTCAGGGTAAAGAATGGAATTTTTCAATGATTCACACAGGAATTGTTATTGTCATTTTTCTTTTTTTCCCCAAAACGTTCTAAGTGCAAAACAGAACCAGAGAACACCTGGGTCGACTATGAACACGTTTACTAACTGTACGATCTTGAACAAGTCGCCTACCTTCTCTGCACTCCTGTCTACTGAGCTCAGGGCTGCAACGCTGGTGGGTGGCAGTAAACGCTATATCAGCTCATGGACGTGACACCCTCGATGTGGCTGTAAACAGCACCCACACGGCAGCAGGGAGCACCATGAGACAGAGGGAGCGGGTGAGGCTTTTACCGTTCTGTAAATGGGCAGGAAAACACGGAGAGACGAAGGCCGGGAGCCTGAGGCTGGCCATGAGATAAGGCCAGGGGTCAGGGCAGGAGGCCCAGCTCACGCTCCCTGCAGAAGCCTCCACCTTCAGGCCCCGGACCCAGTAAGCAAGCACCTAGTGGCGTGCTTTCTGCTCAGGATGGCTCCGTGGGCCACATAGATGCGTGGCGGAGGCCTGGAACACAGCCCCCTCCAGACTGCCTGGGGCCTGTGCCTGGGACCGGCATCCACGGCCCGTCAGGCCTAGGAAAACGGGAACTAACTGCCTCTCCACGAGGGGCTTCCCTGGCTGGCCTTCCCTGGGAAGCAGCAGCATTTCATTGGATGACAAGGGCCCAGAGAAGTAAAAGCCAGTTGGAAGGAGGACAATGGGCCAGGAGTCCCTGGTGAATTATCTTAACTAGAGGGAAAAAGGAAAAGGGACATCTGGGAACCGCTTCCAGAGCTTAGAGTGAAAACTCTTTGCTTTTTTTTTTTTCTGTTGGAACAAAAGCAGTGGGTGTGTTTCTCCCTCTAGAGACTGAACACGGATGGTTTTTTTGAAAGTCAAAATCTGGGCTTGTCAGATGTGGTATGCAAATGTCCTCTCCCATCCCCCATCCCTGAGTCAGAGGGATCTGAATACTCAGTGCTTTCAAAGTCTTGAAAGAACTGGTGATCCTGGGCCAAGCAGCACCCAGCAGCACAAGGAATGGCCTTCAGGACGGCTGGTCTCGCTCGGAGGAGGCACGCCCCTCCTGCTCGCACAGTCCCCACCGTGCCCAACCGTAGCGCAGCTGCCTGCACCTCTCCCACTGGGCTGCTACTGCGGGCCCTATCTCAGCTCCTAAGGTCCTACCAGGCAAAATCTAGCTACCACGCTAAAGTCCTCAAAAAGAGACAAGCTAAATCCACTGCCTCGCTGTGAGATGCATTCCTGCGATGGTGCCAGGTGGCTGATGTCTACTATTATCTGCTGGCAAAATTAGTTTCCATGAGCACATCTGAGTTATAAGTCAGATGATCTACTGTTTAAGCATTGCGTGATTTAAGGAAAGCTGTGTAACGTCTCTGAGCCTGTTTCCACAGGACTGATGTGAGGATAAAACTACATTATTATTATTATGGAACACATTTCATGACTTTGGAGGTTGACTGGATGATTCTTTTGCTTCACATGGTACAGTTGAAGCCCAGGGACAGTGGGAAAGTCCAAAATGGCCTTGCCCATATGCCTGGTATTTAGCTCTGACCACCACCTGGGGTCTCAGCTGGAGCTGTCTGCCAGGAATCTCAGTTCTCCTCCATGTACCTCAAACACACGGCTGTTTGCATGCTGTGAGGGGTAACCCAAGGGGTGAAGACAAGCTACAGCCTTCTTAAAGGCCAGAAGTCACCCAGTGTCACCGCCATCACACGCTATTGATCATAACAGGTGTGAGGGCCAGTGCCAAGGATTCAAGGGAAGGATAAATGGACTCTGCCATTGGTGTGCACAGAGAAGTTTCCACAAAAAGGCATGGGAGGTAGGAAACATTTTTTTGCAGTCACTTTGGAAATACAATTTTCTACAAAGCCTTTCACAGTACCCAATAAACAGAAGGCTGCGTATTGCTAGGTCGCTCAGTCATGTCCTACTCTTTGCAACCCTCTAGATTGTAGCCCGAGCGTGGGGCTCCTCTGTCAACGGGATTCTCCAGGCAAGAACACTGGAGTGGGTTGTCATGCCCTCCTCCAGGGGATCTTCCCAACCCAGGGACCGAACCTGTGTCTCCTGCATTTCAGGCGCTGAGCCCCCAGGGAAGCCCCACACAGAAGGTTAACAGATGGTCAGTATCGAAACCAGATTGATTATATTTTTGGCAGCAGAAGATGGAAAAGCTCTATACAGTCAGCAAAAACAAGACTGGGAACTGACTGTGGCTCAGATCACAAACGCCTTATTTCAAAACTCAGACTTAAATTGAAAAAAGGAAGGAGAACCACTAGGGCCTTCACGTATGAACCAAATCAAACCTCTTATGATTATACAGTGGAGGTGATTAATAGATTCAAGGGATTAGATCTCCTAGACAGAGTGCCTGAAGGACTGTGGATGGAGGTTTGTAATATTGTACAGGAGGCAGTGACCAAAACCGTCCTGAAGGGGGAAGAAAAATATCCAAGAAGGCAAAGTGGTCACTTGAGGAAAATTTACAAATATCTGAGGAAAGAAGACAAGCAAAAAGCAAGGGAGAGAGGGAAAGATATACCCAACAGAATTCAGAGTTCCAGAGAATAGCAAGGAGAGATAAGAAGACCTTCTTAAATGAACAATGCAAAGAAATACAGGAAAAAATAGAATGGAAAAGACTAGAGATCTCTTTAAGAAAATGGGAGGTATCAAGGGAACATTTCATGCAAGAATGGGCACAATGAAGGACAGAAACGGTAAGGACCTAAGAGAAGAAGAGATTAGGAAGAGGTGGCAAGAATACACAGAAGAACTATACGAGGAAGGTCTTAATGATCCAGATAACCACAATGGTGTGGTCCTTCACCTAGAGCTGGACACTCTGGAGTGAGAAGTCAAGCGGCCCTTAGGAAGCATCACTATGAACAAAACTAGTGGAGACCACAGAATCCCAGCTGAGCTATTTCAAATCCTTAAAAACGATGCTGTTAAAGTGCTACACACAATATGTCAGCAGATTGAAAAACTCAGCTGTGGTCACAGGACTGGAAAAGGTCACTTTTAATTCCAATTCCAAAGAAAGGTCAATGCCAAAGAATGTTCAAATGACTGCACAGTCGCACTCATTCTACATACTAGCAAGTTAACACTCAAAATCCTTCAAAATAGACTTCAACAGTACATGAACTGAGAACTTCCAGATGTACAAGCTGGGCTTAGAAAAGGCAGAGGAACCAGAGATCAAATTTCCAATTCCAGAAAAACATCTACTTCTGCTTTATTGATTACACTAAAGCCTTAATTTCAAAGCAATAATTTGACTGTGTGGATCACAACAAACTGGAAAATCCCTACAGAGATGGGAATACCAGACCACCTGACCTGCCTCCTGAGAAACCTGTATGCAGGTCAAGAAGCAACAGTTAGAACCAGACATGGAACAACAGACTGGTTCCAAATTGGGAAAAGAGTACATCAAGGCTGTATATTGTCACCCTGCTTATTTAACTTATATGCAGAGTACATCATATGAAATACTGGCCTGGATGACTCACAAGCTGGAATCAAGATTTCTGGGAGAAAAATCAATAGCCTCAGATACACAGATGACACCACTCTAATGTCAGAAAGCAAAGAGAAACTAAAGAGCTTCTTGATGAAGGTGAAAGAGTGAAAAAGCTGGCTTAAAACTCAGCATTCAAAAAATGAAGATCATGGCAAATAGATGAGGAAATAATGAAAACGGTGACAGATTTTATTTTCTT